CCTAACTGACTTGTGAGTTCCAGCATACCCGTGCTTCCGGTGCCTCACGGTGGGGGAGTTTTAAGTTTCCTTTCAGATTCTGGCAGGGGTCTGGCTGACCTGTGTCATTTTCTCATCACCCAGAATTGCTCGTGATTCAGCTGACCTCCCTCATTTGTGGGGGACTCCAAGACATTCCCTACACCCTCGCCCAGCTCTCGGTGAGAGCACATGGGCGGTGCCCAGCAGCGACACGTTTCCATCCAGAGGATCCAGGGAAAGTGCCGCCTGTGGGCTGGAAAGCATGGGGCCGTTCCACAAGAGAGAGCCAGAGAATCTTCCGATTCTGTGCATGAATTTGCACAGATCTCAGCCTAATTTCTATGTAACGCACATACGTGGCACACTTAAACCAGCCGGCAGAGTCCTGGGGGACTAAATCAGATGGTAAGTGTTCAGCACGTGCTGGACATGCAGCGTAGACCAGGATGGCAAGGCTGAGAGAGCCCCACTAAGATCTGAACCACCTGCGTGGGTCTCTGGCTACCTTAGAGCTATACACTTGTGGGACAGATCCCAAGTATCCTAGGAAATTTTAATTTGAATGGCATCAAAGTTTATTGGATACAGTTAAAGCTCACTTAGAGGGAAACTTGTAGATGTGTACTTAAAATAGAAAATAAGGAAGATCTAAAATCAGCTACCTAATGGTCTACTTCAAGAAGAAGAAATTTTAAAAAGGGCTTAATCAGGAGTACAATGCTGAAATAACATACAAACCAATTCACTTAGTTTCTCATACTAAAAGAACACAGAAAAGTCATGGGATCATTTCAATAGCCAGAGAGAAAGCATTTGACAGCATTCAATTTCTTGATAAAAACCTTCAGCAAACCAGGAATCCTCAAACTGATGACAGGTATTTTTTAAAAATACTAGAGCCAACCTCACACTTAATGTGGAAAAATTTAGTTGCATTTCCTTGTATGTGGGAGGGAGGCGAGGATGCTGGGCTTCTACAATTTCCATCAGCGTTCAGTGTACTGGAGGACGTAGCTACCGCAGTACTGTCATACAGAGAAATAATGGTACAAAGGAGGAAATGGAAAAAGTAAAACTAAAATACAGATAATCCACAAAAACACAGTGCTGCCTGAACCAATATATGAATTTAGCAAGGTCAGAAGATTGAAGACCAATATTCAAAAATCAGTGTATTCTCATATACCAGCCGCACACTACTGGAAAATACTTAGTAAACAGTTGTGTTTATAGTACTATCAAAATCATTAAAAACTTAGGAATAAACATAAAAAAAATGCCCAAGATCCATATACCAAAAAATACTGAGAAATCCCTTAAAGAAACTTAAAAAATTCTAAGTAGAGAGAAATAGCTTGTCCATGGAGCAGAACACTCAGTGTTGCCTAGTGGCAGCTCTTCCCACAGCGGCTCATGGACCCAAGTGCTATCCACATCCAAACCGAGTCAGACCTTTCCGCAGGGAGCGACAAGCTAATTACACAATTTATATAGAAATACAATGGACTTAGACTAACTACAACAACGTTTTCAAAGTAGAACAGCATTTAGCATTCACCTAATTTCATTTCTTCCTATAAAATTGTAGTAATGAATAGTGTTGGACTGACAAAATGCAGACATATATCACAGAAACAGAACACAGAGTCTAGAATTAGACCCTACATGTGTGGACCATTTTAGTTTTAAACAAAAGTGCTAAAGCAATTCATTTGGGAAAGAACTATTTGTTCAAAAAGTGATGCAGTATCAGACATATATCTATGTAAAAGCAAAACAAACGCTCGGATTAATTTTGCTTTTCTGTGTTTTCACTCCTTTGTCTGTTCCTGCGATGTCTTCAGTGATGTTTCCTTTTGTGGAGATTACCGCCTTCCCTTCCACCCCTCCGTTTGCCAGTCTCCCACGGATATTCATATTTGTGAGCCTTAACAAGTTCTCATTGTACACTTGTCTTCTACTTAATTCTATTCTGCTCTTACAGTTATTTTCTTCTCTTTGTTTTGTTAGGTTCAATTTGTAGGTTTTTTTGTTCATAACTTTGGAAGATGGATGTCCAACTTTTCTTATTTTCATGCTTTATGTTTTCCAGTATGTATATGTCAGACTGTAAATTTTCGTTTAGCATAGCTCAGCTGAATCCTTCAGGTTTTCATGTACAATTTGATGATAGTTGCATTTTATTTATTCAGATTACCTTAAATGTTTATTGTGATTCCTTGACTTATTTTTCCTTGATGGGCCAGTTTTTCAAAGTGATCATGGATTTGTGTTCTTGATCTTGTAGTTCTGTTTATTGGTGCTTTGTATATTTTGAGGCTGTGTAATGAAGCACATATGAAATTAAAATCTCACTCTTTATGAGGAAGTAAAAGGTTACAAAGCTTTCGTTATTAAAATCTGCATGGCATGTGCTTTTCTTCAGCATCTTTATTCAGAGATGTCTTTGGGAAATTTTATTTGGGTTTAATCTTTTTAATCCAGTGTGACAATCTTTGTCTCTTAATACATCTTTCTTATTGCGAGTTTAAATCTGCCATCTCTTTTATCAGTCTTACTCTTTATGCTTTATTATTTTCAGTCTCCTTTCTTTCTTACTTTATATGATTGAGAATTATTTAAAATTCTGTCTTCCCTTCCTGACAGTTATATGTTCTTTCGATAGTTTTAGTGGTTTTAGTGTCAGGTGAAGATGACAGCCCTCATCCTTAACTCACTGAGGATTAATTCACACATTCACACACTTGAACCTTTAGTTTCCTCAGACAAAATTACTTTTCCGTATCCTGTATCAGCGAATTCTATTCATACAGTTTTGAGGTCTGTTTAGGTCTGTTTTGGTTGTTTCTACTTTCATTCATGTTCGTTTTCTTATTATCCTTTACGATCCTAGACTGTCGTCTTACTGATATTCATCTGTGGGATTTTGGAGGGTCCGTGCTTGGGATGCTTTCCTCCACTTCTGCTGGAGTCCACTTCTGCTGGGTGCTAGGCTTAGTCCTGGAATGTTTCAAGGATTGCAGCTGACGCCTCACTCCTGCCTCTTCTACCCTCAGCACTTGATCATCTCAGGCTTCCAGGCAGTTGTATCTCTTCTTGCTCCCAAATCTTGCAGTTCCCAGCCAGCTGCAGGAAATATTTTCATGAGGAGAGAGATTCCTCAGAAAACCTTACATTGTTTTCCTAATAAAAACTGTGTTTTATCCAGAGTCTGGCTGTTGAAGGGACCTAGACCTCCTAGTCCATCGCTTTGAGAGTGGTGCCGGTGATTTACTGTACTGTCTTCTTCCTGGAGCAAAGCTGCCAGACCACTGCTGATTCAGTGTTTCTGCCCCGGAAGAATAATGATGTGTCCTATTTTGAGTTACACCACACAAACATCTTTTCATTACTGTGTATCAGTTGATGGAGTCAAGTACTGTGTATTATCCTCAAATGCACACAAGCTTTATTTTGTGAAGTGTAAAATATATATTGTATAACAGCCTTATGCTTGATAGAGGGCATTACTATGTGCTTTTTTGTCATACTAACTTCATGAAAAAGGTACACAATATTTGGATTTTACTCATATTTTTACTTTTTAAAATTAAGAGACTAGATGCCTTGAACTGGCCTTCGATGCAGTGTTTGAGTATTTTGAAGGTCTTATTTTGCCTTTTATACTTACATTGTGGACCATGATGTTGGGTGTAGTTATGTGACACTAAATGTATGTAAATACATAGTCGTGGTGATGGGCATACCGTGCCGAAGGGGGCAGACACATGCACAACCATCTCTACTTGGTATTTGGCAGAAATTTTTCATGTGGTTTAGAGTTCTGATTTCCTTCTGATGGATGGTATATAACAAAGTAAAAACTATGGCCACATTTAATTTTTTACCTTTAAAATTTTAGTTGAAAAATTAAGATTACGTTAGAAAAGAGGTTCTTAGTAGGAGTTGATTGTGTCTCAGTTACTGGCTCCAGCTGGAGACATTTTTGATCATCTCAGTGGTCATGGGGAAGGCGTTCTGTCATCCAGGGGTGCTGCATAATTTCTTATCATAGGCACGTCAGTACCATGAGGAGCAGTGACCCAGCTCCAAATGTCACCAGTGCTGTGAATGAGACAGCTAGCTACAACAGACAACCCTTATGATAGACTCGATATGGAAGAGAACTTGATCAAGACTTGTTTGAAGACCCAGCGTTTGGGCTCCACAGCCTCTGCATGGAGGTCCACTAATAGCAGAGCCACGTCGTATTTGTAACACGCGGTATTTTCACTATGGTGGTCCTTCAGCACGCTCCAATCCCGGCGAGAAGGCGTGTGCTGGGGAGGTGCGGGTGGCAGCTCCAGCTCCTCCCAGGCCCTCGCACCACAGCTGTGGGTCTCCCAGAGCACCCTCTGGCTGGCACCGAGGGCAGCCTGGGTTGAAGCCTCCCCCACGCATTTTCCATCTTCCAGTCTCTCCTGCTTTTCCCTGGGTACAGTTTTCTGCCTCTGTCAGGACTGTGAAAAGAGTTATCTGCTTCGGTTAAATAGACCTTTCCTACCTTTTTTGATGGTTATAAAAACCCTGAATTTTCTTTTTAAACTCGAAGTGTGATGTTTAACTTTAAAAATAAATTGGAGATGCAACTTACTTGAAAGTCCTTCTCTAAGGAATGGCATTTCATCGCATGGAACAGTGCCCTTACAGAGCTTTGAAAGAGATTGCCTTTCATTCAGATTTAAATTCACGGCGGACATTAACACAAATCAGCGAGGAATCCCTGTCTCTGCTACTGTACTTTTTCCTCTGTGACTCTTCAGTGTGGATATATGATAGTAAATTATTTGCAGACGGGGTATTTGAGCCTGATTTTTTATAAGAAATGAGAATGTGGGCCTACCTTATGTTCCCTTCTTTTCATTTGAAAGACAGTTTAGGAAAAAATCTTGTGTATATTTTCATTTTTAAGCAGATTTTCACTACATCCTTTCTTCCAGGCGTTGGCACATCTCCACCTAATAGAATATGTCGGAGAGCAGACTGCTTTGCTAATAAAGGTACATTCAATGCAATAATAGAATGTTCCAGCCACTATTCTTTGATTTTTGTAAAAAAAAATCCAGCAAGAATAAGTCATGCTAATTATGCTGAAAGCACAGCAGGGAACCTATTTTATCCTGGTTAGTCCAGAGATGAAGGGAGATTTTTTTCCCAAAGAGTATATAATTATAGAGGCCTATTATTTTTCTGATCACCTTTTATTATTTTTCTGAAAACCTGTCCAAGAGTGAGAGCAGTGATGTTAAGTGAGTGCTGCAGGAGGCCCGGCCCGGGATGTGTCTGGACCCTGGCCATGGGACAGTACGCGTGGCTGCGGGATTGGGTGAGGAGGAGCGTTGCTCTGCCTCTCCATCTCTGGGCTGGGATTTTCTGCTCAGCTGCTTGGAGAAACCCAGCAGAGGCTTCTGACGTTGGTGTGGCCTGGTTTGCACACACGTGTGCACCTTGTCTTGCCATGTGTAAGAGGAAGGACTAACTCTCCCTGTCACAGTATCGCACCCTCAGAGCGTGTGATGTGACAAAAACTTGATGTATAGCACTGCTATTGTCTCCCCCCTCCAGATGGTCCCAGAGGACCGGCGCCTGGCCGCTGCCATTGTCCTGGTGATGTGGGTCTCAGCCTTCGCGTCATCCTTGATCGACAATATCCCGTTCACGGCTACAATGGTGAGTCGCTCGCTTCTGTGAGTTTCAGGGCTCAGCGCCAGCCGGCACACAGCCTGGGCTTGTCCTTCCTACTGAGGAAGCAGAGCATGAAACGAGCTCACTCACCACACGTGCAGATGCAGAGGACCCCGTGGGCACAGCCTGGGGCAGCTGGGCAGGAGCAGTTCGCCAGAGCCCAGATGGCAGCCTGGAGCCCCGGGCTGCAGCCAGCGCGGACACTTGCCCTCAGTGACCGGGTGCTCTGGGGTCAGCCCCACTGAGGACTCCCCTCTCTTTTATGTGGGACACCCACAGTACAAACAATTTAAAAAGCAAAATAAAATAAAAAGAAAAGGTAACACAAAATCAGGAACCAGATCCTGCAAATGGGAAGGGGACCTACGGGTGGAGGGGGAGGGGAGGCAGAGGGAGGGGGAGCAGAAAAGTTACGGTGTGCTCTGTACCTTTCCCAAACCCACAACGAATGTGACTATTGTGTGCTGAATAGCAGGCATGTGGGAATATAATAAATGTAAAAAAAAACAAAGCGGTTCTCAACTTGAAAAAGAGAAATACGTGAGACATCGAAAGATAGATTTTCATCTTTATTTCCTATGAAGGCAGAAGCTGTTCCAGCCAGTCTTGGTGGCTTCTGGTCCTGGCCTGGGCGGGCTGATTATTTCCTGTGTCCTGAGCCCCAGTGGACAGTGGACGTGCGCATCACAAGCTTCTCCCAGGGCTGACGAGTCCTGCTCCCGGGTCGGGGCAAGGACTGAGCACCCCAGGGTGGGCAAGTAACGGTGGGAGCAGGGGTTTGGGCGCAAGAACTGGGGTCCTGTCAGAAGTGCCCCGGGGCTCAGGACCCTGGACACAGTGTCAGGAGCGTGGGGCACCCTCATGCAGGGAGCTGGCTGGGGTGTTCTCTTTGTGGTTCTTGTGGCCTCCGGGCCCCATTCCTCTCGTGTGAGTGGAGAGGCAGCTCCTAAGACACCCTGTCGCCCTGAGTCCTGTGAGCCAGTGGGACCCAAGCGCGGGAGCAGCAGTGCTGGCTGAGAGGCGGAGGTGGGCCAGGCCTACGGCGGCTTCCGCGGCCAGGACCTGGAGGTCCGCACCGAAACCCACCTGCGACCCGCTCTGTCTGCCCAGTTTCACCATCCAGTGAGCTGGCTGTTGCTCTCCTTCCCGAGTCTGCGTTTAGGAAGCCTGAGTTGACTTTGTGGCTGTTTTATTTTCATGGAGTCCCGAGCTGGAGATGTCATGTAGCTGTTGCCACAGGTGCAGAGTTGGGCAAAATGCCATGCAGACCAATGTTTAGAGACTGTTACCTTCTGTGGAAGAGGCAGGATTGTGATATAAAAATGCACTTCTTGAAATAAACTATTAAAGGGTAAAGTAAAACTAATTTTTTTTTACAATGCTTACCTAAACACTCCAGTTAAAAGGCAGAGATTGGCAAACTTTATTTATTTATTTTCTGGTACTGGGAATTGAACTCACAACCTTGTGCTTGCCAGGCAGGTGCTGTGCCGCTGAGCTAAATCCCCAGCCCCTGGCAAACTTAATTTAAAATGCAAGCTTCAACCTTACAGCCTTTGCAGGAAATGCACTTTAAATACAAAGACAAGTTGGAAGGAAAAGGATGGGAGAGGAATTAGCATACAACACTAAGCTAAGAAAGTTCATGTGACTATAAATGTGATAAGCAAAATAAATTTCCAGAGAAAGAGTGTTTAAGAAGGGATTCTACTCCAGTGTAAGGGCTGATTCACCACGCAGACTTAGCCTGAGCTGTGCGTACACCTCACGACAGCTCCCAGATACACGAAGAAGAGGTCTACAGGGCTGATTTTCAGCACAGCTCCCCACGACTGCCAGAGAAGTCTGTCCTTTGTGACTTTCAGAGTGTCTCTGGAGTTGACTGTCAAGAAACTTCTGTTTTTCCAAGGCTTCCAGAACTATTTACAATAGCAAAGGTGCTCCTCAACCGTCCTGCTTAGCACTGTGCCATAGCATCCGAGTACCACGGCCACTGCATAAACCTTGCCTTTGACCTGTCCCTTATCCAAATTAACCATAGGTAAGAGAATCAGTAATCTCGGAGCCACTGTTACTACACGCACTACTTGTCCCTCATAATGGGGTTCTTTAGGTGTCAGTCGGTGAGCAGTCAGCTCCGAAGTTTGTTAGGAGAGCCTGCTTTCTAGAAGCTGTCTTAGTACGAGCTTCCACAGCAGCCAACTTTGAGGCAGTCCCAAGGGCTGGAGCACGGGGAGCCAGAGGGTTGGAGGTAGCGAGAGAGAGCCAGCGGGGAGCTAGCACCTGGCCTGCCAGCGGTGCACGGGCAGGTGGACCATTTGCTTCTCAACACAGTCTGCCCAGAGGGGAGAAAGGGGAAGAACTGACCCGCAGACGTCTGTCTCCTTTGGTCAAAGCTTGGCCTTGGGTTGCGTTCACAGAAATGTCCACTGGGGACCCACAAAGTGTCCCATCTTAGCACCAGCAAAGAAGCCTGAAGAAAGAATCGCACAGTGTGAGGAAAGGGGTCGGTGTCCTTTGTGAGAGGTGCTGATCGGAGTCTGTGAAAATGTGCCTCTCACAGCAGGACCAGCAGGACACAGGAGGCAAAGAGTCCAGAGCGGCACATAGTAGAGGTCCCATGCGGAGTGGCTTTAAAACTCACAGTACAGGTGGATGTGAAATATGGAATACCTTTCAGTTCTGCAGTGAGGAAAAGACAAACGCCTGTAAAAACCATGTCCCACAGGCCGGAGGCTGTGCTATAAAACAAGAAAAGAAATAAGGCCTGCAAGGACTGGAAAAGAAGAAATGAAAACTTTTACTGTTTACAGAGAACATGAATTTGTGTTCTCAAAAAATTAAAAAGAACACATTTGTTAGCTATTATAATTAATAAGTGAATTTATCAGGGACCCTAGACTTAAAAGTCAGTTCAAAAATCAGTTGTATTTCTATGTAGGAGTGACAAACTAATAGAAAATGAAGTTCTGAAATACGTGCAAATGACAACGGCATCTGCAATAAGTCCCAGTCCCGAGTTCAGCTCAGTGTGGTCCCCCTCTCCGGGCACCGTCTGGTGGGACAATGCTTATACCAGTCCTTGGCTCCAAGACCAGCTCAGCTTACACACTTCCCCTGTTGTCAGATGCCGCAGTGGGCCCGAACCTGGTGAATCACAGGGCGTAGCCACAGAACCAAGCTTTTGTCACAACCCTTTATCCACTCTTCCTCCTGGCCTCATGTGCTTGGAGGTAAAAAGTCCCATCTTCTAGGCATACTTCAAGGTCTCCTGACCCAGGTCCTTCCTGGGACTGACTTAGTGTTGGAAAGGTTTATTTAGCTCAGAGTTTGTAGAGGTTTCCGTTCAAACTGGCTGGCTGCAGGGCAGGGAGGCTTTGCAGAGAACAGTCCATGGCGGGCAGAGGACAGCAAAGTCAACAACCAACCCGAACAGTGTGCTTTTGGCCCCTTTCTACTCTAGGCTGCTGGGATTAGGGCGGTGCCACACACACTTAATCCCAGTACCACATGCTAGATTCACCCACCTCTGAAAAAGCCCTACGATCACACAAACCATAACACCTGGGCATCAGCCTCAAAACATAGACCCTGTGTTCCCCTAACAGGAGGTGGTCCCTGTTCTGAATCTACTTTCTCTTCAGTGGCCGCTGGGTTGGGTAGGCACTGTTGGCTGGGGGGTCCCCAGGAGCATCTGGGTGCTGTGTCTGTCTATGTCCTGGGGGACTGCTGAGTGTACTGGCTTGTGATGGGCACTTGGGAAGGACTGGGAAGAGCGCAGATACCTTGAGACTGTTAATGTTGGAGATATGCCACCTTCTGCAGATGCTTTCCTCCCCCTGGACAATGACAGCCCGAGTCTGTGTCCCTGGGTTCTAGCTGCTCATCGTCTTCCCTTCGGACTGTCTTCCCCGCCCACCGAGTAGAAAGTCCTCCCCAGCCCAGCCCCGGCCCCCAGGGTCGGGTGAGGCAACTCCTCAGAGTGAAGCCACGTGTATAGTGATATCTCTCATTGATTCTGCCCGCTGATAGACGCAGTGGTATACGTGGGTCGTTAGGGCTCCTACCCGCAGAGGGTAGTGATGACAGTCTGGCTCCTGTGTGTGTGTGTGTGTGTGTGTGTGTGTGTGTGTGTGTGTGTGTGTGTGTCCCTTGTGCCTCTGCTGGCGTAGAAGGAAGCACACTGCTTTGTCCTTGCCAGCCTGAAGCCTCGGTGGCCTGGCTTATGTGGCTCTACAGAGTTCAGGTCACTGCAGTTCTGTTCCGCGAAGTTTGATTTCTTGGACTGTCCCCATGTCCAGCGCCACCCAAACGTCCCTTAGGGTCCCTGGCTCTCTCTGCACACACTTAGGAGGCCTGCACAAGGTTCGGCGGGGAAAGAGACTAAGGCACATTTTGTGGAAATGCGATGGCTTCCAGACAGCACAGTGAGTCAGCCTCCCACTATCGTGGCTGCCTGTGTTCTGGCTCCGTCTGTCTTTGACAGCACAGCTCTGACTGAAGCTGTTGTCAGGTCCACAGGACACTTGTCCACAGAGATTTCATCCTGCATGATTGCACCATCCTTTCATTATGGAGGGAACTGGCGGGTGCAGCGGCTGTTTCCAATGACCAGTAAAGGCTGCCAGAGAGGCCGTCTGGGGAGAGCTGTGGGAGACAGGGCCTATGCTTGCTAAGGGAGTGCAGCACCTGCCCAGAAGGGGTGTTTTATTAGAGAGACCTGCAAGTTCTCTGCCTTTACTCCTAGGCTGTGAGTTTAAAGAGACAAAATGAAGCCTGTGATCTCCTTGGTGGAAATGCACCTCCAAAGTGTGTTACGAGTTTGGGGTTGTTTCGCCTACACTCATGTTGTCTGCTACGTGCTGTCAGCAGCGGCAGAAGCACAGTTCACATTTGTTTGTTGTATTCCCTTCTGCCAGTGGCCCAGGAAGGATATGGAATAATTCAGGGCATCCCAAAGCCTTCTTTCCTACTGGTAGGATCACACCATGGAATATTTACCTAGATACTGCATCCACAGTAGAAAGATCTAGATCATAGATGAGTTTGTCTCTTCTCATTGGCTGGACAGAGCTTCAAGGAACCTTCCAACCAGAGCAAAGCCAGGTCACAGGAGGGACCCCAGGGATGTTGGGAAATTAGATTTGCTGTTTTAGGTTTTCCTTGCTTCTCTGCCTTGGGCCCTTCCCTTCCTGTGGACTTAGTTATCTTTAACAATGACACCTTAAATAATACTTAACACTACTACAGCAACTTGGTGTTGAAGCTTCATTCATATTTAATCCAATCAGAGCAGACAGAGAGACTGTAGCAGGCAGTCTGCAGCCCTCTTGGTCCTCTGTGTGTGCTGGTGTGGCCCTTGTGCTTGCTTGAGGCAGTGGGAGGCCAAGGGGCTAAGACAGTGGGAGGTGCTGGGGGCAACGGCTCTCCATTAAGTGGTGTGGGCACATTCAATATTTTCATCCACACTTCCGTCACCTCTGCCCACCTCTTCTGCCTTCTTTGCCTGTCTAAGGTTGGCAAGGAGCTGCAGAAATCCAAGCCCAGACCTACCCCCGGGGCCGTGCATCTCACATCTGCTGCATTCCCCTAAAGCCCACTCTGGGAATCCTAAATACATGGTTAATTGTCTGGCAGAATTCTCTAGCAATCTTTCTTCGTTGACATTTGATCGTTCTGACCTCCTTGGCTTAAGCAGAAAGGGTTCTCAGGCAGTTTTGCAGTTAAAATGTTATAATTCTTCTCTTGGTTGTTAATTCAAAGAATAATAATCTATGCGCACAACTTGGTGAGTTTCCTTCGGTGGACTCCTTGGGTGCTCATCATTGTGTATGTTCTTCAGCCTCTGTGTGGAAGTCATGGTTTCAAGGCCGTCCGCATCTCCTCTCCCAGGTTTCTGTCCAGGCCCCAAAGCGGGTATTAGGAAAAGTGTTGCTGGTGGCTGTGACACCTGACATGGGAAAAAACCCTCAGCACTTAATTTTAGCTTTTGCATTTTGTTTGATGTCGTTTTTAGTTCATCCTGTCACATTCGGGTACAGAGTAATACAGAGGGCTGAACCGGGTCCAGTGGGCTGTACTTTGGGGTAAAGAGCATGAACGTACAGCCCAGGCTCTGCACAGGGTCCCTCAGGCCCCAACCCAACCCGTCCATGTGTGGGCGGAAGAGGAGCCAGAGACAGAAGCAAAATAGCAGCCCAGGGCGGCTGCTTCCTGCATTAGCTCAGTGCTGGCCCTGATGAGGAGCAAGGCGTGTGACCAACTGTGTGGGTCTCAGGGGTGCCCTCTGCAGTGCCCGGGGTGAGGGGCTTTCACTTTCCATCACCCACGGACTAGCCATCAAATGACCGGCCCCTGGCTCCATGGCCTCCCAAACACGAGGCACATTTGAGGAGTCAACGGTCTGAATGAAGAGGATCATGTTATGTCCCAAAGACACTCAGGAAGATTCAGTAGCAGCACATTTTGAGCACCAGTTTCTTAGAGATCTTTCACAGCCACCTCATGCTTTGTTAGTTAAGATAATATGATATTCACCCCTGTCAGAAAGGTGTGACGGAAGCTGCCGTGACTTACTAGTGAACGATGCACCAAGTTGTAGGGTCTGATGCCTGCTGTCCTCCTATCTGAGTGTCCTAGGCTTGGGGTGACGGGCAGAGATGAGAAGCGGCTCAGCTGAGATCTGTGTTCCTGGACCTCGCTGTGTCCTAGTTGCCTCGTCTGTTGGTGGAAGGAATGACAGACTCACCCAAAAGATGTCTGAGAATTAACTGAGATGATGGGTGTGTGAAGGCAGCACGGGCTTTGTCAATGCTGGCTGGATTTTCACGTACCCAGACGCTGTGTTTGGCTCTGTGACTTCACCCCATTCAAGATCTACAGCAGCTGGGGGCGCGGTTGGCTGTGGACGGAGGGGCCCTTTGGTCATGTGACTGGGGTCAGCTAGGTACGGTTTGCGGGGATGCCACAGTTCACTTTGGTTTCCTTCCGTGCACCCTACAAAGCGCACAGTGTGACTGCTGAAAAGTGCTTTGGGTGAATCAGAGCTGTGGCTCTGTGAGTTTCCATGATGTGACCACGTCCCTTTTGCCCACAGGTTCCTGTGCTCCTGAGCCTAAGCCAAGACCCTGGAGTCAGCCTGCCCGCCACACCGCTCATATACGCCCTGGCCCTTGGTGCCTGCCTGGGAGGTAAGGGGGCACTGCCTGTGGTGGGGGGAGTCGCACCGTTTTCTGCCCCGAAGCAGAAAGCAAAAGAAGGGGCACCCAATGGGTCTCGAGGGGAGCACATCCTCAGCTTTGGAACCGGTCCACAGCTCTCGCTTGCCCTCTGGGGACTGCCACTTCCCACTCTGCAGAGACACCGATGACATTCCAAGCCTGTGCCCGAGGATAATCAGCATCAGTGTCTCAGAGCTAATGTGCCCATGCCTGAACTCGTGTGAGCTGCATTCAAGAACCAGAATGTCCTCAGGGGCAGCTCTCGTTCCTCCGCCTCCCCCTCCCCTTTCTCTTATGTGGTAGGACTGAAGTGATGGACAGGGTAAGCCTTAAGAAGCCGAAGACAGATGAAAAATGTGTTAGGTGGGTTTTGGGGGCTGTACTTTGAAGAAATTGCAAAATGGATCACAGTGTCAGATGAAAATGGACTCTGGTGCCCAAGCTCAAGGCTTTGGATGGGGCTGTCTTGAGGGGCACAGAGGGAGAGTCCTTCCCACGCTGAGGAAGCCCGATCACCTTTGGGAACACAGCAGGATTGCGGAGAATCTTAGATAAGCATACCAGGTAGATTTTTAAGTTTTCTTCTTAGATCCAGGCGTGCTTAGATAATCCAGCTTCCTTTGTTCTTCGACAGATCTCTGACTATTAGATCGATAACTTTCTGGTTAGTTTATCTCCTCGCTTGTAAAGCAGGATCAGTGTCACTCAGTGAGGTGTCAGGACACAGCGAATTCTTCACTTCACAATGAGGCCTGAAGTTCTTCGAGAGTACAGAATGGGGGTAAATGTTGAAATAGCCCGAGACGGAGCAATGTGAACGTCATCTGTGCTACTTTTCCCATTAGTACTGGACAGAGTCCAGATCACCAGGGTAGGATCCCTGCTGTGGAATTTGTTTATTCCCACTTACTGGGCGTCTGCTGCAATAACGCCATGCCAGGAGTTAAGTCATTATCCCTGCTCTCGAACACGGAAGACAGTCACCTGAGCTAAGGGGACACAGAAGGGCACATCCCTCGCCAGGGAGAGACTGCAGGGAAAAGCCAGGAAAGGTGGCAAGAGGCAAGAGGCCAGGGGGCTAGTTCCGTTTCACCCCAGATACGTAAGGTGATTGTGAAGGGGGTCTTGAGACACCGACAGCGACCCCCTGTAGACTAATGACCTGCAGCGGGGCCAGGTGCTTAACACTGGGCATAGCCAGGAAGCAGCGCGAGCAGTAAAGGTTTCCATCCTGTGATCCTTTCAGCTTCGTAGCTCTGATCACTCAAGCACCAGTTCCTGCACAGCGGATGCCCATTCGTGCTGGGTGTTCACAGTGCAGCAATCCTCTGGAGACCCCGTCTCGTTCCCATGGGGTTTAGCATTTTAAACACATTATGGTAAGTATATATAACCAAATTTACCATCTTAGCCATCTTAAGTGGACAGTTCAGCGGTGTTAGGTACCTTCACGCAGTCTCTAACTTACGCGGTGTATCCTTCCCATTCCAGTTCACGTTGTGATTCACACTGTACTTCATTTGCACTGTCACTGGCATCCGTCCTTGTTCACACTGTGTCAGCAACCTGCAAACCCACACTGTGTGTGCAGTTCCTGCAGTTCCGCCACCTCCTCCAATTCCAGCACTCCGTCATCTCAGACTGAAACCCCGAGCTTGTAAAACAGTCACTCTCCTTCTGCGGGGTTTAACGTGTTAAAGAACACTTTGAATAGATGTTCTGCTTGACATTAGAGATGCAGTTTGCTGTTTACACTGGAGGGGATTCACTAGCTCATTTGGAACAAACAGTTCTTTAGTGGTCTGACCCTAATTCTTTTTGGATGCTTTTTTTAAAAGAACTAAGTTAAAAACAATTCAAGCAAGTCCTTTTTAGATTTTATTTATTTATGTATTTATTTATTTATTTATTAATTTATAGACAGGGTCTTGGTGTGCAGTGCAGACTGGCCTTGAATTCACCATATAGCCCAGGCTGTCCTTGAGCTCATAGTGATCCTCTTGCTTCAGCCTCCTGAGTGCTGAGATTGCAGGCATGTTCCACCACGCCTGGCAGTTTTTATTTTTTATTCCTTCTCCATTTTGATGGGAATGTAAACTAGCATTTCCACTATGGAAATCAGAATGCAGATTCCTCAAAAAATTAAAACTGGGAATTCCATGTGACTTAGTTATTCCCCTTCTGGGGAATACCTTCCCCCAAAGAGTTAAAGACATCATATTATAGTGACATACGCATACCCATGTGTATAGAAGCACAATTCATAATACCTAAATCTCAGAAACACTCTACATGTCCATTAACAGATAACTAGGTAAAGGAAATGTGCTATTTACATACAAAGGAGTACTATTTTGCTATGGAGAAGGATGAACTGGAGTTGTTTACAGGGAGATGAGATCATGTTCGGTGAAATAAATCAGACACACAAGCTTATATATCTCATTGCTTCTCTTATATGAGAAAACCAAAATATAGATCAAGCAAGCCTTTCAAAAGATCTCTGAGCCTGAGTTTCCTGGACAGCAGAGGTGGAGACAAGCTTATACCCTAGGACTTCTTGGTGTCCGCAAGCCGGGGCCAGAAAGACTGCGTTAGAGGAAGTGGGACGAGCACAGTGAACACGGAAGATGAAGACCACCTCCAAGTGTGCTGATACGTAGACTGTGGGCAGCCCAGGAGCACGTCCACATCTTTCCTCAGATCATGTTTGTGTCCTGGAGGACAGGTGGCTCTTGGTCTTGCCAAGGGGAATGTGAGGGCGTAAAGTGGCACTGGTCTGAGACGGTGGCCTTTTAACTCCATGTGTGTGGGTAGACTCGGGAAACCAGACTGTAGACTCTGTATGTGACGTTCATCGCAGGGGGCGGGGATCACTTTAGGCCCTGGTGGCATTGTGTCTAGATCTGTAGATCGTATTTCTGTGCCACATAGCCTAGAAGTGCCAGGAAACACAAGAGAAGCCCTCTGCAACCCAACCCCCTCTGCCCGGATCTTAGTGGAAACTGGGCAGGAAAGCTGAGGCGGGATAGTGACACTTAAGGCCTCCTTTTCTCTGTCTCATGGCACCCTTGGACTTGAGGTAGCATCAAAACCTGGCTGGCATCATGACAGCTACTACAGACGGCCCCACTTCTAATGCCTTGACTTACAATTTTCTGACTTTACAACGGTGCAAGAGCAATCCATAGCCGGGATTGTGAGTTTTGCTCTTTGCTTGGACTCTCCCTGCCCCCTGATGCTGGGCTGTGGCGGTGGGTCGCAGCTTCAGTCAGTCACATGATCCTGAGAGGAAACAACTGATGCTCTGCAGTTACTGTGTTGCTATGCTAGGGTGGTCCAGAGGTTAGTGTATTCACTGCAGTTCACACGTAAAATATTTTTAACTTACAATAGGTTTACTGTAAGTGAAGGAGCATCTGTACTGAGATAATTGTTGATTTCTGAATCGTGTAGTCATCTTCTTAACCCATGTAGACTCCACAGACACCCTGTCAGATGCCATGGAAGGAGACGCCTGTCCTCACTGAGTGTCACGTGGCTGGCTCCTTACATCTCTTCCCCTGCTGATGACAGGCAGGGTCAGGCTGGCGGATCCTGTCTCTGGCTTGTGAATGGTGTGGAGGCAGGCAGGCTATGGTCCCTTGAAGTCAGGGAAATTTGAAGGCACGTGTTCTGGGTAGAGGGGAGGGCTTTTGGTAATGACTCTATTCTTCAGAGCAAATCTCAGGAGGGATGGAGGCTCTGGTCCTTCCCGTGGCCACGGTTGTGTAGCAAAAATGCTGAGTGATCTCCCCAACAGTGTGGGGCCAGCTGTGCCTTGTCGGTGGGTGCTGGAAAGTTCAGATGGAGGGAACCGTCTTGATGAGCTGCTGGAGCACTGCAGCCGCCGCCACTGGGTTGCTCCTCTTCTGACTGCCCATCACATGGGGAAGAATATCTCTGTATACACATTAGTACACATTCCATTTTGTGCCTTCCTTTCCTTACAACCGAAACATCTTCATTAATGCAACAGAAATGATCAGTGCTTTGCTCTTTATGACACTTAGAAAATCTGAAACTTTGAGGTCTTCTGAATCCATCTCTAGCTTTCTTTCCATAGTACCAGTTGATTTCCTGTTTCTAACACAGCTGCTGAGGACCTGCCTCCCAGGGACTGACATAACTCCCTCCCCACACTCTTCTCTCTTGCTTCCTTTTGTTGTGCCCATGCTGGTACACACTAGCATTGCTGACTCATCTTTGTGATGCAAAGAGAGGCTGTTTGGAACCCCTGTTACATAGATTGCTTCTTCCCGATAGAAAGGTTTCAGTGCTAGTTCTTCTTCTTACCTTCCTGCGTGCTGCCTCCAACAAGAGCTATTCATCTACTGTTTATGGACAGAGGTCAGAAATGAGCTAAGTTGACTGACCCTGGGTCATGTGCCCACCCTCAAACGCTGATCACGACAGCTCGTTATGACACTTAGAAAGAGGAGAGAAGAGGCCCACTGACTTAGCCATGCAAATTCGCCCTTCCCCGAGCCCAGTGCTGCATGTGTGTGTGAGGGAAGGGGTGGACCTGGCATTCCCACAAGCCTTGGCTCCTGCCCCCAGGCTGTGGGCTTGGGGTGTGTTCATGTGAGTGTAGTGTATCTCACGTCATACGCATGGTCACTATTGCTTACTCATGGTGACATCTTCTGGGAAGGAGATGGCCTTCGGTGAACAATGTCAAGTAGCACAACTGCTTCCTCTGTTTTCTTCTGTTCTTTTATTCATTGAAAGAGTGCCCTCCCCGATAGGCATCCGGGTCAGGAGTCCTGAGGAAGATAGTTCTTGTCTGAGATTTCATTCCAATGTTGCAAAGGATGCCTGTTCCTACCGCTGGTGGTTGGCTCTGCTTGCATTTTCCTATAAAATACACCTGCCACCCGATTCCGCAGTGTCTTGGTTACTTTTCTCTCGTTGCTGGGACAAAACACTTGACACCCAAAATTAAGGAAGGAAAGGTTTATTTCGCTTACAGTTTGTGGAGGTTTCAGTCCATACTTGGCAGGTTGCAAGGCAGAGTGGCACATGGCAGAGGGCTACAGCTCATGGCGGCAGAACACAGCAAAAGCAACAACCACAAAAGGGCGGAATGGCCTCAAGCACCCTCTTCCTCTCCCTTACGTATGCAAACTATCCACCCCAGGGCGGGTGTAGCTCTCACACCCATAATCAATCAAACTCTAAAAGCCTGCCCCATGACCGCATGAGGCTTTGGGGGGACACCCAAACACAAACCTAACACACAGTAACTTACCCGTTCTCCTTAGCATCTCCTTCTTTCTATCACACAGAATGGCAGTGGTCTCATTCGTGAAGAAATCGTGGTATTTCCAGACAGAGAATTTATTTTCTGTTTGCCAGTATGTGTATGTTTCCAGATATTTGCAAAGCAGTCACTCTGATGGTGCCTGTAAAATAATCATCAAATCAAAGCCTGTGAGATGATCTAGATATTGCAGGACAAAAGGGAACAGAAGTCTGCCACCAAGAGATGCTGAGATTTCACTTTATTTTTAAAATTTTCTGATTCTAGGTAATGGGACTCTGATTGGAGCATCTGCAAATGTTGTTTGTGCAGGGATTGCAGAGCAACATGGGTATGGATTCTCCTTCATGGAATTTTTCAGGTACTTTGAAAACCCATTTTAACTTTCCATTTACCTATCTAGTTCCTAAGCTGACTTAAAACAAAATGCGTATTGCTAAACACTAGGATGAACATGTTTTTAGCAATTAAGGAGGCTTTGGTGTAGATGAGGTTAGCTCAGGAAAAAACACGGTAAACATTTATTTCTGAAATTGGTTTCATCACAGTGAGGACTATTCAGACACTTTGCAATGTCTGAGTTGGATCAGGGGTCAGGAAATGGTTGTTGGCTTGCTGGGTATTTCATGCTGCTGTCCTCTTGAAAGTTCTGGTTGAGACTGAGGCTTCATTGTCTATAAACATGGTGTAAAGCGAGGGTCTGGCAGCCTGCTACTGCATCGTGCAGAGAGAACTCTTGCTAGCAAGGACCCGGAGGTCATGCCAGGCAAGCAGTGAGCGGATTCTGTGTGAGGGCGCCTCTCTGCAGGCTGTGTGGGGATGTGGCCAGGGAGGTGGAGCACAGCTGGTGCCTGGGCAGGAGAACTCCTCTGAAAGAGCGGGGTCCTCTCGGGCCTCAACAGAGTCTGTGCCTGTGTTTGCCGTGCACCTGTCCGCAGGTTAGTGAGCGCGGGGAACGGCAGGGGCCCCGTAAAATGTGCTGTCAAGATGAACCCCCTTCACTGGTGCGGAGCTGTATTTCCATGAAAGGGCTTTGCGCATTGACTCACAGCTGGATGCACGTGTAGCGCGGGTTACAGAGCCAGCCCTGGTGTGAAGAGCTGCAGCTTCAGCTGTGTCTGAGTGGAGGGTGACTCACAGCCTGTGGAGCCTGCAGTCCCTGCCTCCGTTACGTGCTCCTCTGCAGGTGCCACTTGCCAGGCCTGGGCTGGGAAAAGGACCTGGCTTGGCACAGCAGGAAAGGACTGAGTGTTGGCATAGCCTGTTTTCTGTTGCTATAACAAAATATAACAAAATACTTGAAACCAGGTAATTTATAAAGAATAGGGTTTATCTGGCTCACAGTTCTGGAAGCGCAGAGAAAGTCCCAGAGTGTGGTGCTGGCATCTGCTTGGCATCACTGGGGCCTCTTTGCTTCATCGTAACACGGCAGAGGGCGTCACATGGTGGGAAAAGCAAGCAGGCCCGAGAGGGATCTTTATGACACAGCCATTCCCCCAGTGACCCATTAACCCATGAGTGGATGAACCCATTTGTGAGGGCAGAACCCTCATGACCCAAATTCCATCAGTGTGGATTTGGGAATTAAGTTTCCAGTCTTTCTTTCGGTTTACTTTGTTCTTTTACCCGTTTTTTTGAAATGCAAATTCATTTAATTTATTTTTACTTCCTTTGTTTTGCTTTCCATAAATGTTTAAGGCTGTACTTTTTTCCCTGCCCACTGCTTTATCACTATAAAACAACACTGAGATTCCATCTCACCCCAGAAAGAATGGTTATCATTAAAAAAATCAACCAATAACAAATGCTGGAGGGGCTGTGGGGAAAAAGGAACCCTTCTCCTCTGCTAGTGGGAGTGTAGACTGGTACAAACACTGTGGAAATCAATGTGGAGAGTCCTCACCAAACTAGGATTAGAGGTCTCATTCCACTCAGCTATTCCTCTTCTGTGGTCCATTCCTTAGCTATTCTTCCCAGAAGAATTAAAAACATCATACCACAGAGATATATGTGCACCCATTTTTACAGCAGCACAATTTGTAATAGCTAAATCTTGGAAACAACCCAAATGCCCATCAACTGAGAGATGATAAAAAAGATGTGCTTTTAAAAAAAATATATAATGGAGTACTACTCAGCCATAAAGAAGGATAAACTTGAGACTTTTATAGGTAAATGGATGCAACTTCAGCCCATACTCATAAGTGAGATAAATCAGATTCACATGTGTAAACATCACACTGTCTCTCTGGTGTGAGAAACTGAAAGAGTAAATAAGGTCTAAAATGTACAGTAGATATTATGAAATGGGAAGAAATTGTTCAAAGGGAAAAGGGAAAAATGCAAGTCAGTTCCACTATTAGTATCTCTTTGTTGTTTAAAAAAGAAGGTTTGTGCTAATAACGATGGGAGAAATTTTTATGCCCATATCTTGTACCCTGAGCAACTACTTTAAACATAGCAACAGGTAATGCATTAACTATTGTTATCCTCCTATTTTTTTGTTGTGAGCTTTTGTTTTACCTTTTTCCATAAAAAGAGAAGTGGGCCCCCATCAGGGTTCTTGACTGTCATAGAAATGAAGCAACAAAGAAGCTGCGTTTCCACAAAACTCCAAGCAGCCTGTGAACAAAGGGCAGATTAGAGTAGAGACTAAACTCCCTGCCACACGAGACAGACGCAGAGACACAGCCCTCAACCTGCGACAGTTCATGGAGCCCCCGTCACAACTCCACCCCGGAGAGGCGAGGGGCACATCAAGAAGACGTCCAGTGGTGAGCATCTGGTGCCATTAGCCGTAGATTTCTGGCAAAGTATTGTGGATCTAAGAATATGCAAATGTAGTTTTGAAAGCAGAAATAATTCCATTAATAAGAGGGTGGAGAAAGAAGTGAGAAGTAGAATAAATTTATCAAAGGTCATGTAAGGAATAAGTAGAAGTCAAAGGGTACTTTTAAATATAGATGAAGTAGATACTAAAGATTAAGTAAAAAAACAAAGGCCTAAAGAGATTTGATTAGGTGTGAGAACAAAGGTAATCACTCAACAAAAACATTGACTTTCCTAACTGTGCAAAAACAATTTAGAAAAGAAAAAAGGTGTACAGAAGCATGACAACAAAAATGTAAGATACTGTACATAGCGGCATGATGAAAACTTGCATAGTGATGTGAATCATATTAATAAAAATGTGACTAGACTAAATTCACTTGCTGAAAGAAAACAATATTTTTATCTTTGTTTCACAAAGCAAGTCTCAACAAATATCCTGTAGATAGAAGGCACACCTAAAACAAAGTAAGTTAAAAGCTGAGAAAAGTGTTTTCAACCCTATCAACAAAGTAAAATTCAAGCCAGACAGCATCAAGCAGGACAAAGTGTGAAACCTGCAGTGAGAAAAGCTTCCAACTCTCAGAGAAGACAGGACAGTAATAAATACACACCCACCGAACAACATTGAAAACACCTTTAAATATCAAACTGTAAGATATTCAAGGAGGAATAAATAGAAATGCACCTATCACAGGAGACAGCATGTCACTTTAAATACAAGACAGAGGAACTAGACAAAAACTAAGTAAGGATTTAAAGAACCCAGCAGAAGCATTGTATAAATTATCTAAATATGTAAGTTTACACAGTGACAGTAGAGAATGAACTTT